ATAAATTCGTCAAACTTCTTGTACCACTGTCTCGGAGCTTGTTTTAAGCCATACAAGCTTTTCTTCAATTTGCACACGAGCTTTTCTTTTCCTTTGATTGAGAAACCCTCTGGTTGCTGCATATATATCTCATCCTCTAGGTCACCATGGAGAAAGACAGTTTTCACATCTAACTGCTCTAAGTGCAACCCCTCTGCTGCAACAATACTTAATACTGATCGAATTGTTTTCAGCTTTACTACTGGAGAATAAATCTTTGTGTAGTCAATTCCTTCTTTCTGTTGAAAGCCTTTGACCACCAATCTCGCCTTGTATCTCTTTGATCCGTCATGTTCCTCCTTGACTCGATAGACCCATTTATTGTGTAGGGCTTTCTTTTCTGCAGGCAACTCAACTAGCTCCCACGTTTGATTAGAGATAAGAGACTTTATCTCGTCTTTCATTGCAAGCTCCCACTTAATCGCATCATCTCCCTGACATGCCTCATCATAGCATTCAGGTTCACCGGCATAAGTAAGTAACAAATAATTTATGTACTTTCTGTTTGGAACATGTGGTCGGGAAGATCTTCTAGGAATAGGAGTTTGAGTCTCCGCAACGCTTCCTCAAGCTGAGGACTCTCATCTGTCTGCTTTGACATACTACTGCTTGGACTATCATCCAACTCAACATATGTTGGATTATCATGTATGTCACTGGACTGCGTTGTATCTCTATCCTTGTACATCACCCTTTCATTGAATATGACATCCCGACTTCTGATGACCTTTTTGTTCTGATCATCCTAAAAGTGATACCCGAACTCATCTCCACCATATCCAATGAAAATACATTTTAGTGATTTGGGGTCAAGCTTACCCCTAGCTTGATCACTAATATGTACATATGCGACACAGCTAAAAACTTTCAAATGAGAAAGTTTTATTTCTTTTTCGCTCCATACTTCCTCCGGTATCCTGTACTCCAAAGGCACTGATGGCCCGCGATTGATTAAGTATGCTGCCGTGTTGATAGCTTCAGCCCAAAATTGTTTAGGCAAACCAGCATGTAACTGCATGCTTCTGGCTCTCTCTGTCAACTTTCGGTTTATTTGTTTAGCCACACCATTTTGTTGCGGTGTTCCTGGCAACGTCCTTTCCAGTTTGATACCACTCTGGTAACAAAATTTTTTGAAACCAGCATGTTCGTACTCTCCGCCATTATCTGATCTCAATTTCTTTACTTGCAAACCTGTTTCATTCTCCACCATGGCTTTCCACTTCTTGAACATCTCGAACACTTCGGATTTATGTCTCAAGAAGTAGACCCATACTTTTCTGGAGTGATCATCGATGAAAGTCACAAAATAAGACTTTTCGCCAATAGATGGAACTGCAGCTGGCCCCCAGACATCCGTGTGGACTAACTCTAGCTTTTCCTACTTCAGAGTTCTGCCACACTTGTTGAAACTCACCCGTTTTTGCTTTTCGAAGATGCAACTCTCACATAGGTCTGCATCAATAGATTGAAGTCTTGGTAGTTTCCCTTTGTCATGCATGTACTTGAGTCCTTTCTGACTCATATGCCCTTGTCTCTAGTGCCATAGATTCGGATCTTCATTTGAATCAGCAACTGCAATTATTTCGCAAGCACTCATCGTGGTGTAAAGAGTACCACTTTTCTTGCCTCGTGCTATGGTCATTGCACCCTTAGAAACCTTCCAAATATCACCGTTGAATGTTGTGATATAACCTTCATTTGATAGCTGTCCCACAGATATCAGGTTCTTCCTCAATTCTGGAATGTGTCTGACATCCTTCAATTTCCATACAGATTCGTTAATCTTGATCTGTACTTCGCCTTTGCCGACTACGTCACAAGGTTGATCATCACCAAGATATACTTTTCCAAGATTGCCTGGCTCATAACTCGTAAAGAGTTCTTTGTTTGATGTAGCGTGAAAAGATGCTCCAGAATCTATTACCCAGTATTCTGTTTTGCTTTCCAAAGAGCATATCAAAGCATCATCGGATTCCTCTGCTACATCATTGGCCTCGGTCTTGTTTTCATTTTCTTTCATGGAAACTTGACACCGATTTTTGTAGTGTCCGGTATTGCCACAATTCCAACATTCAACAACTTTTGATTTGTTGAAATTCTTTGGATTTCTGGATTTTGATCAACCAAATCTTGACTTGCTTCTGTAATGCCCTTTACTTCTGTTTGAACTTCTGCCTCTGCTCTCCACGTTCAAAGCGGCTTCAGAAGTGGAAACGCCTTCTGACTGTCTTCGTATTTCCTCAATCAGGATCATACTCACGACATCTTCAAATTTCAATTTGGACTTTCCGGTAGAGATACTAATTGCTGTAACTGTGCCATTCCAACTCTCAGGCAGCTGCCCGAGAATCAACAAAGCTCGAACCTCATCACTGAACGTGATTTCGAGTGTGTTTAACTGGTCCGTCACTTCATTTAGATGTTCTCCAAATCTTTCGCATTCCACCATTTTCATAGTAAATAGCTTTATGATTAAATGGACTTTGTTTGCTGCAGATGGTTGTTCATACATGCTAGACAGGGCCGCCATGAGAGATGCCGTCGTCTTTTCATTTTTTATGTTGAAAGCGACTGACTTTGATAATGTCAGTCTTATTGCGACAAGAGCCTTTCGGTCAAGTAATTCCCACTCGTCGTCGGTCATGTCCTCCGGCTTTACGTGATGTAGTTTATACAGGTCCTTTTGGTACAAATAGTCCTCCATTTGCATCTTCCAAAATCCAAAGTTTGTACCATTAAACTTATCGATTTTGGATATCTTCTTGTCTGTTGCCATTCCTCCCACTTAAATTCTGAAGCTCTGATACCAGTTGTTAGGAAATTAGACCGCTACTAATTCCGTCAGGATCAGTGGGACGCAAAATAATTTGAACTGAGAAGAAATAAATGTAGCAAAAATAATAAGTGCAAGTGACACAAGAATTTACGTGGTTCGGCAATCGTGCCTACGTCCACAAGCCCACACCAATTTTTTTACTCTATCAACAAGAGAATAAAATGAATACAACAAATACACTCTCTGTATTTTATTTGCCTACGCAAAGACAATCTCTCAATTTTCTCTCGTTAATTTCCTGCACAAACGAAAGCCTAACTGCTTCTCACTTTGTGCTTGCTCACTATCTCTTGTGTTTTCACTCACTACTAATTTTCTTGCACTTCTCTTTTGCTCACGTTTTGGCACACATCTTTCCTCCTACTTTGGCTCCAATTTATAGGAAAAATTTCACCTTCTTCATTAAATGCATATCCATCCATTTTCAACAAAATTGGCTCCCATTAATGCATGGCAAAAAATTTCTTCCAAGAAATTCGGCTGCATGGTTTTCAATTTTTCCATTCACCTTCTTTTTCAACATTTGCTGCCATGCTTTTGAGGAAATGTGTCTGCCACCATAGAAAAAATTGTGAAGCCTAAAATGTAGGCTCCAAAATTTCAACAGTTTCTTCCTTCTCTGTTTCTATTTCTATTTTTTATATTTATTTATTTTTTGGTATTAGAGCCTGATTGAGGCAGTTTTATAGTTCTTTCTTTCTTCTTGTCTATCTAGTTTTATTTGTATTGTTGGAAGAGATTGAAAGTTGTAGAAAGAAAACCATTGTTATACAGAATCGAGTTAGCAGAAGGGGGAAATAGTTGAAATACGTCGTATGGTGTCGAGAAGCACAGACACAAACTACAAGTACTCGAGAATGTGTAAGGGGGCTTATCTTCAAGGTCAAGACCGTGGGAACTAGTTGCTGGTGCTGATGTAGAATTCCTGCAAATACTCCAGAAAATGCTGAACCTCAGAGGAAATGGAAGATCAAGTGTGGAAAAACTCTCTTTGCTTTGAGGACTTCAATAGGTAAAGAGTTCATTGAACACTTCCGTGATTCCAGTTCACCAAAAGAAGTCTGGGAGACATTTTGAGTGGCTGTTTTCCAAAAAGAATACAGCAAGGTTACAATTGTTGGAGAATGAATTGGCAATGCTAATGCAAGGATGTATGTCTATTTCTGAATAATTCTTATGGGTTAAAAGTATTTCTATGCTGAAATTTCAGAATTAGATGCAAATGAGAAAATCATTGAAGCAGGATTGCGAAGGTTTCTCATTCTTGGATTGAAGGAGTATATTCCTTTCATTACCTCCATTCAGGGATAGGCCAATCAACCTTCAGATGAAAAATTACAAAATTTTCCTTCCAACCAAGATGCTTTGTCAGCACAAATGGCAAAGAATTTTAATCTAGATGCTGTTCTCTTCTTAAAAGGAATGGAAAGTGATATAGGTTGATAGAGGAAACCGCCCTCCACGGCAAGCAAGATAGATCACAGCACTTCGACGCGAGGTCGTCGACACCCTAGAGGCGATCCACCACTACCTCTAGGGGTCGCTCTACCACTACGCGAGGTCATCGACCCCCCTAAGGGAGCTTTACCTAGGGGCGCTTTACCACTACGCGAAGTCATTGACCCCCCCAGGGACGCTCTGCCACTACGCGAGGTCTACAACTGGAATGGGACTGCCTATCCAAACACTTAGCCATGAAACTCCTAGTGAATTAACAAGGTTCCATAGCCGCTAATATGGAAACAATCTCCAGGCGGGAAACTAGAGATCCCCCACTCAGAATGTGGGCATAGTGGGAACGTCAATGTGGGACACGTGGCACCGCATCCGCCCGCGGTTATCCGGCCCCTAAGTCTATAAATAACTCCGGACGCGGCACAGGTAACGGGTTCTCTCTTTCAATCTCTCTTTTTCTTCCTTAAAATTACAATCACATTTTCCAAGCCTATAAACTAATTCTCACACCGGAGGTAAAACGGGGGAGGAAGCCCCACCTTCATTTTTCAAGTCATATATACCAGATGAAGTAAACGAAACGCCCAGCACAATCAGGCAAATAGGAAGGTGTTAATCCACCACAATTTCATTGGCACCGTCTGTGGGAAACGATTTGAACTAAAAAGCCATGTCAAGAAGACGAACAAGGAGTGATACTCGCCTGGTTGGGAATACAGCGGAGTCGGAGTCAGTTGCAAGGGGACGTGAGCCGCTGTCGCCCCCGCAGTATGTGACGCAGAGTCAATTTAGCGCTTTGGAGACCCAGTTGGCAGCAATGATGGCACTCTTACATGACCAGTCGCAGAGAGCCATTGTCCCTCCATTGAGCTCGACGGAAGTGACGAGCCAGCAATCTCCTCAAGCGCCACTCGTGGTTGTCCCGCCCATTTCTCTGCACGGGAGGGGGGGGGAGATGTGGGAGCCCCAGAGATCCAAGCTCAACAGCCCCCGCAAACTATGGTAGACCTGGAACAAAAGATGGAAGAAATCATGGCCCAGAAGATAGATGATGCCTTGTCTAAGAGAAAAGATAGGCGGAGATAGATGGTTTTGGAGGAAGACCCGTTCGCACCATAAATCATGGCTGTCTCCCTGCCTAAAGGTTTTAAAAAGCCCATGACAGAAGCGTATGATGGAGTCACGGACCCGCTTGACCACTTGCGAACCTTCGTAGATCTGATGAGACTTTATGCCGCCCCGGACGCAGTGATGTGCCGATCCTTTCCCCCCACACTCAGGAGGGAGGCTAGGGACTGGGTAGCGACCTTGGCCCCGCGGTTCATCAAATCATTTGATGAGCTCTCCAGGAGCTTTGTAGCTTACTTCCAAGCAGTAAGAGAAAGAGGAAGACAGCCATTGGGTTGATGCAGGTCATACAGGACAAGGACGAGTCATTGCAGGAATACTTAGCTAGGTTCAACCGGGCAACTCTCAGCATAAGAGACCTGCAAATGTCCGTAGTGGTTACCGCCTTGATGAATGGAACGCGAAATCGGGCCTTTAAGATGTCACTCTCCAAGAACCCCCCAGAATCGATGCATGACTTATTGAAGAAGGGGGACAAATATGTCGATGCGGAGGAAGCAGAGAAGATAACTAAAAAGCTCAGGGACGGAAGGGAGGCGGAAGTTCATAAGCGAAAAACATATGACGAGCAAAGGCACACTGATAAGAACAAGCCGAAGAATGAACGTATAAACAAGGGATATGCCCAAGACCGGACGGTCAAGCAGAAGCGAGAGAAGGTCAGGACACCCACCCCTTTGAACATTCCACGTACAAAGTTATTGATGGAGATACAGCACATGAAAGAGCTCGAATGGCCTAAACCGATGCTAACTCCTTCCGACAAGAGAAATCAAAGTAAATATTGCCATTTTCATAGAGATCAAGGGCATGATACCGAAGAATGCCTACAGTTAAAGGAAGAAATTGAGCGCCTGCTAAGAAGGGGACTATTGGCTAAGTATGTGAAAAATGACAAGGGCAAGCAAAGGCTCGAAGGTCTACCCCCACCAAGGGCAGGAGTGATAAACATGATCATCGAAGGAATAGCATCAGGCGGTGACTCAAATTCGACTAGAAAGAGCTATGCGCGTTCTGTAGGGGTCTGCTCTATTCAGAAAAAAGCAAGATTCAACCAGAGCATTACTTTCGATCAAGAGGACTTGATTGATGTAACGCACCCCCATGATGACGCCTTAGTAATAGTAGGCGATATAGCGGATTTTGACGTGAAAAGGTTGTTAGTCGACGGAGGAAGTGCGGCAAATGTCCTCACCTGGGATGCCTTCTTGGGTCTAAAAGTCCCCCAAGAGAAGTTGAAGATGGTGACTACCCCTCTACAAGGCTTTGGAGGGGCAACAGTGATACCGGAGGGGACTATGGAACTTTCAGTCACGCTAGGGACATACCCAGCAACAGTGGTCATCGTGACTAATTTCTTGGTTGTCAAGACCCCCATGGCCTACAACGTTATCTACGGCCGACCATTACTAAATGCAGCTAGTGCGGTCCCATCGACCTACCATCAAGTTATGAAGTTTCCAACTAGTAGGGGAATCGGGTGCGTGTGAGGGGACCAACAGGCATCAAGAAAGTGCTAAGTGGATAGTATACAAGCCAAAGGCTCACCATCAGTCATGATGCTGGATGTGGAACTCCCGAGGGAGCGGATCGAACCGCTCGATATGATTGAAAAAATATTTATAGCCGAAGGACGAGAGTTCAGTGTTGGAACAGGTTTGGGATTTGAAGAGAAAGAAAAATTGGCAAGGTGTCTGGCTGATAACTTGGATGTCTTCGCTTGGGGCCCAGAGGATATCCTAGGAATTAGTCCGACCGTCACACAGCACTGCCTCGGTATCCAGCCAGGGGCTAAACCAGTGAAGCAGAAAAAAAGAAATCTCGCCCCTGAGAGGCAGGCTGCGGCCAGAGCTGAGGTAGAAAAACTGCTACAGGCGGGTTTCATCCGAGAAGTGCAGTACCCCAAGTGGTTGGCAAACATTGTACTTGTGAAGAAGTCAAACGAAAAGTAGTGCATGTGTGTAGATTATACTGGGTTGAATAAGGTGTGCCCAAAAGATTCATACCCGCTTCCCAGAATAGATCAACTGGTAGACGCAACTTCAGGTCACAGAAGGCTCAGCTTCCTAGATGCATTTTTGGGATATCATCAGATTTCAATGGCCGAGTCCGATCAAGAGAAGACGTCATTTATCACTGACTTTGGCACGTATTATTACACGGCTATGCCGTTTAGTTTGAAAAACGTAGGAGCGACGTATCAAAGGATGGTAAACAAAGTCTTCCGTAGGCTGATTGGAGATGTTGTAGAAGTCTATGTTGACGATATGGTGGTCAAGAGCGCCAAGGCTGATGACCATGTGGCCAGCTCGCAGAAAGTGTTTGACGTTGCCCGACAAAACAGGTTAAGGTTCAATCCAGAGAAATGTGTTTTTGGCACTGCAGGGGAAAAATTCCTAGGATTCATGATCACGCAAAGGGGGATCGAAGTAAACCCGGACAAAATTTAGGCGATCCTAGAAATGAAAAGTCCCACCAACAGGAAGGAAGTCCAGAGGTTGACAGGGCGGGTAGCCACCTTAAATCATTTCGTGAGCCGGGCAGCGAACAAATGCTACCACTTTTTCAAAGCTATAGGGGGCTCCTCCAACTTCGAGTGGACCCAGGAATGTGAAGAGTCACTTAGGAGCTTGAAACAGTCATTACAAGAGCCCCTGATCTTAACCAACCCATGCCCCGGGGATGTGTTGTGTCTCTACTGGGCAGTCTCACCAAGGACAGTCAGCGCGGTGCTGGTGAAAGAGTTCTCAAAGGCGCAAAAACCAGTCTACTATGTGAGCCAAGTATTAAGGGGCACGGAGGAAAGATGCAGCCTGGCTGAACAGCTGGTGTTAGCATTGATGGTAGCGATTAGAAAGCTGAGGCCTTACTTTCAGTCTCATACGGTACAAGTAATGACCGAACAACCTATCAAGCAGATCCTACATCGGCCTGAGACCTCTGGAAGGATGTTGAAATGGGCAATCAAGTTAAGTGAGGTTGATATTGAATTCAGGCCAAGGATGGCTATTAAGGCACAAGCTCTAGCAGACTTCATCGTTGAACTCACCCTTTCGCCCGAGTACGCACCAGGGGGACGGCAGATTGGAAAATTTTTGTCGACGGATCTTCGAACGACGAAGGATCCGAGGCTGGGATCATAATGATAGGGCCGAATGGGAAAGAGTTGGAGTACTCGTTGCGTTTTGAATTCCCAGCTACAAATAACGATGCCGAGTACGAGGCAGTGATCACGAGTTTAAGATTGGCAGCCAGACTCGGGATAACTTCAGCAGAAATTTGCAGTGACTCTCGATTAATAATCGGGCAAGTGACGAGGGAATTCGAAGCAAAAGACGGAAAGATGGCAGCATATTTAATGGAGGTCAAAAACTTGCAGAAGGGGTTCACCATGTTTAAGATAACTAAGGTTCCGTGAAAGGACAATGAGCGGGCGGACGCGCTGGCTAAGCTCGCATCCGTTAACCCTAGACATCTGCCTTGCACAGCAAGCGTGCAAATTCTGCAGTAACCTAGCATCCCGCACACGACAGATGTTATGAATATAGAGCATGAGAAGAGTTGGATGGACCCGCTGTTTGAATATCTAACAAAGAATAAATTACCGGAAGATGCTTTTACGGCGAGAAGGCTAAAAATTCGGGCAGCCTTGTTTGTCGTCATCGATGGACTGCTCTACAAGCGAGGTTTTACAATGCCATATTTGAAGTGTTTGCGACCAACAGAGACACAGGAGGTGCTAGTCGAGGTACATGCGGGAATTTGTGGCAACCACCAAGGGGCCACTTCCCTTGCGTTCAGGATGCTTCCACATGGATATTATTGGCCTAGTATGAAGGAAGATGCTAAAGATTTGGTTAGGAAATGCGACGCATGTCAACGCCATGGGAATTTGATCTACATTCCTGCCGAGCAACATATGGCGATTTTCGGGGTGTGCCCTTTCTTCTAATGGGGATGGACATCTTGGGACCTTTTTCCCCTGGCCAAGGGACAAAGGAAGTTCTTGCTAGTCGCCATGGACTACTTTACTAAGTGGGTGGAGGCTGAACCCTTGGCCACCATCACGACTACAAAGGTACAGGGATTTGTCTGGAAAAATATCATAGGCAGGTTTGGCATACCCAGAGCAATCATTACTGATAATGGAAAACAATTTGATAATCATAGTTTTCGAGCCTTCTGCACAAGTTACCACATCGACCACAGGCTGACTTCAGTTGCTCACCCACAGGCAAATGGGCAGGCTGAAGTGACTAACCGAACCATACTATGGGATCTAAAGATGAGGTTGGAAAAGGAGAAAGGGCTTTGGGCGGAGGAATTGCCCAATGTACTATGGGCATATCACACAACTCCTCGAGAGTCGATCGGGGAGACGCCATTCAAATTGGCTTTTGGGATGGAAGCCGTGGTTCCGGTTGAGATATTAAGCGAGACGGGAAGGATGAAAGTCAAGCAACACGACGAAGCAGCGACTAGAGGAGAACTCAACCTCCTTGAAGGGGTAAGGTATAAGGCGGCAATAAGAATGATGGCTTACAAAAGGAGAGCCGACGAGTACTTCAACAGGAGAGTCGAGCAAAGGGTCTTCCAGCCAGGAGATCTCGTGCTAAGAGATGCAGCAGTAGCAGGACACCCCCCACCAAAGCTTGATTCAAATTGGGAAGGCCCGTACGAGGTAATCCGCGGGCTGGGAAAGGGAGCTTACAGTTTAAAAGATATGAAAGGAAGGGCGCTAGGTAGACCGTGGAACGCGGAACACCTCAAAAAGTATTATCAGTAGATTTCAAAATGTACGCACAGGCAACACTTTTGTAAATACAGTCGACTAGGTTGAATCGTTTATTTTCTCCATGTAATGCCTCACGAAGGCACCTTTATTTGTAACATTTGTTATTCAATGAAAGACCTTAGCGGTGACGGATGATGAGGGTGCTACGGAAGGGCCAGCCTAGTTGGGACGTCCCGGTACGCCTACTGAGGTCACAAGACCAAGAATTTTTTATGCTAATAGGCAACTTTGAAATCCACGCTATCCCACGAAGACATGATGTCGACATATCCTACGCGACTAGATAGAGAGCCTTGAAAAGTCAAAAAATTGGCTAAGGCCCTTAACTGCCAGACCACCCCTGGTGGTCGACATGGCCTACGCGGCTAGGTAGAGAGCCTTAAAAAGTCAAAAAATTGGCTAAGGCCTTTAACTGCCAGGCCACCCCCTGTGGTCGACATAGCCTACGTGGCTAGGTAGAGAGCCTTGAAAATTCAAAAAATTGACTAAGGCCCTTAACTGCCAGACCACCCCCTGTGGTTGACACAGCCTACGCGACTAGGCGGAGAGTCTTGAAAAGTCAGAAAATTAGCTAAGGCCCTTAACTGCCAAACCACCACCTGAGATCGACAGAGCCTACACAGCTAGGCGAAGAACCATGAAATGTCAAAAAGTTGGTTAAGGTCCTAAACCGCTGGACCCCTCTCCCTGTGGATGACATAGTCTGCTACTTAAGCACGGGATAACATAAGGCTAAATTTGGCTAAGGCCATCGACCACTGGGCGCTAGTCAGACAAAAAAAAATACATAAATACTAACACCCCGCACCATCAGGCGGTAAAAAGAAAAATAACACGAGAAACAATAATTTGAAAGAACCATGCACTCAGCACTAATGATATTGAATGAAAAATGTGTTTATACATCCGAGAAATTCTTGCCCACACCCCGAGCAAGTAGGAGATAACAAGACTAATCAAGAGTAAAGATAAAAAAAGGAAAAGCTAGCAAAGAAAATAACAATTAAGAAATGCTTCAACCTAAAGGGGAAAGATCCCCACTATCGCCTCGTGATGAACGACCAAGTGACTTGGACGACTGAGCTACACTCTCCTTTCCCTTGCGTTGCGCAAGAAACCTATCCAAGCCAGAGGGGTCTATAGAAGGATGCTTGGCCATAATCTACTCCTTGGAGAATTTGATAGATGCTGACATTGCCTTCTTCCCCATATGAATTCAAAGCCCTAGCGTAATCAGACGACGTCTTATACTGTTCCACAGATGCCTTGAGATCACTAGCATATTCAGCTGGGCCTTATACTTCTCTCAATCGTCTCCTCAAGAGCGCGAGCCAAAATAGAATGTAGGTTGTCGTTCTCCGTCTCCTGCTCGCGAGCTCGAGCGTCCGACGCCTCCAGAGATTTCTTCAAGGAAGATATTTTTTTCTTGTAGTGATGAGCCTCTTTTTTCTTTTCTTCAGTGAGATTTTTCAGCTCTGAGACCAGGCGGCGATTCGATTCCGTGAGTCCAGTTTGGAGGGCCACCACCTAAAAAAACAAAAAAAAAAAAGAAGAAGAAGGGGAAAAGGTGAAATCAAGTATTAAAACCCAGCTTAAAAGGCGAGACTCAACATGAAAGAAATTGCAAAATGGGAAACGTACCCTCAGGAGATAAACAGCCGCAGCCCTTTCAATGTCATCTGCACTACGCTCTAC